AAGAGTCAGCAGCTCGCAAAGAATCACCTCGCAGCACGACGACGCTCGACAACCACTCACATGATGTCCGTAGATGCAATTCTCAATGTCGCACTCCTGCCCCTTGGTACAGGGATTGAGCCGTGCGAGGTGCGCAATGGCGTGTATCTCATCGGGCGTCGGCTTATACCGGTGCTCGAAGCAACAGTCGCTGCCCTTGACGCAGGGTCCGCGCAGGTAATGGTTGTTGCATAGCTTGTCCGTGTCCTTGCGCTTCTTGATGCTGTCGAGCGCCACCGGCACAACGGCAATGGGCGCGTCGAGGCCGCGTGGACCGGGGTTCCACGCCACTGCCGCCGCCTTGGCCAGGCTGCTGGCTGCGCGGGCCTTGGCTGCCGACATCTTGCCCGCCAGCGGCGTCGTGATCTGCGGGGGCGGCGTCGCCGAACGCGTCACGGCTGCCCACGAGGCCGGCAACGTGGGTGCTGCCGGGGCCATCATGGGGGCCGCCGCCGGTGCTGCATTTGAAACGGCGGGCACCGGCATCGGCATCGGCATCGGCATCGTCGCCAGCGCTTGTGTCTGTGACTTCGCTTGCTGCCCCGGGCCAAAGGCGAAAGAACCGTTGCGCGAACTGTCGGGCGACCGGTTGATCAACTTGTCAGCGCGGAAGAGCTCTTCAAACTGAATAACATTGACGTTTGTATCCCGCAGCTCCCGGGCCGTCGGGGACCCTTCAATGACGGTGACGCGCGCCCGCGAATCTTGATCCTGCAATATTTCATCGAGAAAGGGCGCATAACCGGCGTCGTGAGAGACGCCCAGCAAAATCTGTTTACAGTTATAATTACGAAGATGCCATCGTGTGAGTTCTATGTGCGCCTGTCGTCAATATCTCTCTGTCGTTCTCCCGTGCACCAGCTTGACGGAAAGCGCACCTTTAATTTTGGAATCGGCCCGTTCCTTGCCGTAGCCGACATCGATAAAGTCAAAATGGGCCTTGGCCTGCGTAAAGCCGAGTGCAAAATCTTTGAGGTCAAACTCGGCCTCGATGCAGCCGTCGCGGCGCATCGCCCGCGCGAGGCCCGTCAGGTTGGCGCACACCTTGGCCACGATCTCGACCTCGTCGGCGAACTGGCCGCAGAGCGACACAATGGCGCGGCGCAGCGCGTAGGCGGCCTTTTTGCCGCCCTCGATGCCCGCTTGAATGAAATGGTCTTGAAACTGCGAAGGCGTCAGCCAACTCGTGCCTTGTGAGGGGGGGACTCAACAGACATGAGGCCGTCTCGTCTAGAGGACAAACATAAAGGTTGCGTGCTGGGTTTATCGTAAGAAACAGCGTGAAAACCCCGGAGGAAGATGGGGAGGGAGACTACATTGGCATTCGTGATCTCAGCACTCATGCTCTGCACATGAGCGTCGGCCGCCTTGAGTCGCTGCTGGAACTCGCGGCGCCTCGTGCGCGCGTCATCGAGGTCGAGCTGGCTCTCGCGGAGCTGTTGGCGCAGCGTGGCATTTTCCTGGCGCAGGCCCTCTTGGGTTCTTTCGCAGTAGGTCAACAGTTCCTGGTCCAGTGTCAGCGCGGAGGTTGATCCGATCGACGAGCCTGACGTTCGTGGCTGATGGACAAGGAAGGGGGGGGGGGGGGAAGAGATGGCGGGCTTCAGCGGGACGCACCTGTATCAAACCCTCGCTCGCCTCACGCTGCTCGCGAATCGACTGGAAGCGATGGTTGAAGCCCAAGAGATCACTCTCGTGGACGTCCATCTTAGCGGGCATCGAGTTGTGTCTCTGGGCCGACGTGAAGAGGGCGGGCGGCGGGCCCATCTGTAGGCGATCCATCAGGAGACAAAAGGATCAACCGAGGGAAGAGATGTAGGGTAGGGTCTTGAACGGATCGGGAGGGCGATGACTTCGTTGCTGTTGGCAGATGAGGAAGAAGACCGGCGGGCTACAGGTGAAGGGGATGGAAGAGTAGAGTTGCCCCCCTCTGACGTGACGTGTAGATGTGTATGAGGACGAGGTGTTGATTTGGGGAGACGTGTGTCAACGCAGGGTGAATGAGAATCACGGAGATAGAGAGGGAGAGTGAGGAATGGTCGACCTCTCAACTCGCAGCGGGAACCCAGGAGGAGAAGAAGAAGAAGAAGAAGAAGAAGAAGAAGAAGAAGAAGAAGAAGAAGAAGAAGAAGAAGAATAGATGCCCGTGAATGGCTGCAGAAAACACCTGACCACTGAAAACGTACAAGCTGAGGCGGGTCGGCCGTCGACGAAGAGCCCAAGGCAGCGAGGCGTGTAATGGTGGTGTGGTGTGTTGCAGCGTCCAGGTGTGAGCGGGCGGGACGTTCGACCGGGCCGGACCCCTTGCTTGACTGGCTACCTCCCCTTGACCCTCGCCTCCCAGTGTTGCACACACGCGAGGCGGTTGGGTCACGATGGGTGCGATATCTCGATGAGTGGCAGAGCGCAGCGCAGTGCCAAAGAACGGTGGTGAGCGGATATGAAAGACGGAGCCCTCGTCGTGCTGTGCTGTGCTGTGCTGGGACGCTTCTCTCTCACACAGATCTCTCACACAGACAACACAAGCGTGTGCGCAGGCAAAGGGAGC